CCCCAAATCAGTCTCATATATGTCTTTCTGCATTTTCAGTTCATTACCTCTCTGTCAGAAATTAAATGACACGATTAATTTTTATTCTTTTGGAATGGCAATTTATCATTTAATTGATCAGTTCTATAGCTTTTCAAAACTGGTTTTCTCTATAAAGTTATCATGTAAATTGTCCTACTGGTTTTCCTCACTTTGCTATGTACCAGCTCACAAAAGTCTTCTCAGTTTCCTCTGAAACCGTCCATTTCATCATTGTGCCATAGCACAATGACATATTTTCTTACATTCATATACCACAATTTGTTTTGCCATTTCCCCAATAGGACAGTCCACTAGTTTCCAATATTTACTTACTATAAAAACCAACCATATTCTCTATGGAAAATCCTTATGTTTGTCTAGCACTTTATGCTTGACAACGTGCTTCCAAATACATTTGAGTCTCATAACACTATAGGCAAAGCAAATGTTACTGTTCCTTATTTAGGATGAAGAAAAGAAGACTGAGAAAGCTACTAAGCCTTCTAAATTCCCAGTAAAATACTTTTTGTGCTGTTTGTCTAGGCCCGGGGTCCTTAAACTAAGTAGGGATCCCCTAAGGATCAAGGGTTCCAAGAATGTGGATGGGAAAAAAATTTACACCTCATTTTCACTAACCATTAAGTGAAATTTAGTACTTAGGCAGGCAACAAACACCAGCTTGTCAAAAGGGTCCATAAGCCAAAACTGTGGTTAGCTTAACTGTGGTTAAGAATCCACAGTTCAGACTTAGGTTTTAATCACAGTAGGGAACTCCCAATATAGGGCACTCCCAGTATGGAAACTCTTCAAAAATACCTTTAGGCAAGGCATCTATAACTAATAAGTCTTGGGATTGTGTAGAGTGCCAACAAGTCACAGGAACACAGGTTTAGAATCAGAAGAGACCTCAGATGTCAACTAGTGTAACCCCTTCATTTTACAGATGAGTTAACTGAAGCGAGGGCAGCTAGGTGGCACAGTGGACAGAACACCGGCGCTTGAGTCAGGAGTACCTGAGTTCAAATTCAGCCTCAGACACATAATACTCACTAGCTGTGTGTCTTTGGGCAAGTCACTTAACCCCAATTGCCTCGGAAAAAAGAGAGAGAGAGAGAGAGAGAGAGAGAGAGAGAGAGAGAGAGAGAGA